AGTTCCTTTACAAAGAACAAAATACATAATATAAACCACATCAAACATTATTTTACTTTATCAATAAGAATGTGCATTATAATGGTTAGGTATGAACTTTCAAGTTTTTCACAATAATAAAAATATATATGGATACATTTCTTACTTGGATGGACTCTAAAAATAAAGTGTGAAGGGAAATGGAGAAGCAAAGGAGGGGAAGTTGGAAGGGGTGACACCATGCCCCAGGATCTCCTCCTCTCAAGAGGATATAGTGCTAAACAGTAATTGAATACTGCATGCATGCGTATTTTGTCATGTCAAACTGGAATGCTGAAGAAACCATTTAGAGAGGTTTACAACACTTGTGTAGTGACAAACACCGTTATGAAGGCAACAATTCTCAATGTTAGGAGCACAGAAATTACCTAGACTTTCTGGAAAATGCAGAGTTTTGAGCCTCCTCTCAGAGATTCTGATTCGGTGGGCCTAAGGTGGGGGCCCCAAATCTGAACTGTCAATCAGCTTTGTGGGTGATTCTGAAGCCAGTGATTCAATCACCACAGTGAATGCTGATTCTAGGTGAATTGTATGCTAATTGTGTTTCTAGGTTTTTCCTTAATTAATCTCCAAGATTACAAGTGAGAAAATCAAGTTCTTGGTTTGACCCCTCCGTGTATTCCTCCTAGTTTGACTGGTTTCATGTCCTTTGAAAAAGCCTCATTGCACCTTAATGGAAGAGCTAACCACGCTTGAAGCTAGGTTTTAGGAAGTCATGGTATAACACCCCCATCCACACATGGGTTCACTGTGTAGCATTTAGTACCTGGAAGTTGTATCTACCCTCCCCTGTAAATTAGGTTGTATGATAATTTGTGATTTAGTCCAGTTTTAATTAGATTGCATCCCTTATTTGCTTTAAAATGCATAAGAAATGAACAAGTGAGAGCTTTAATCTGTGTTAGAATAGTTTCAAAAGCAATATAGCAAAATATATTTTTCCCAAGGGGAACAATAAACAACAGTGATAAAACAGTAATTAAGCAAACTAAAGGAAAGCCTTCCAGAGCTATCACCTTTAAATAAATGGAGTGCAAGAACAGAGGAGCGCGACCGGGTTATAAACAAGGAGCCTGTGATGAGAGAGCCCCAGAGGTGAGGCCAGCAGTGAGGAAAACCAGGAGTGGGCTCCTGGAAGCCTCGCCCCAGGGAGCTGCGTGCTGCTGCTGCTGCTTCCGCTCAGCGGGTATCCTGCGATCTGGTTTTGAGTGGACCCTGAAGGACTTCTGTCCCAATTACAAGCTCTGTAACTACACTGAGAAGTGAAACTGAAGAAATAGATAAAAATGTCTAATGATTACACTAATAGTGTTGATAAAACATAGCTGTCACATATACCAATCCTCTATAATATGAATGGTTCAAGTTTGGGGGTCGGCTATCCTGGGATCCCTCTCATTAGCTGGTTACTCCACCTCTTTGAGGCTTGGCTACCTCATCTGTAAACAGATGACAATACCTAAACACTGATACCTGAACATTGAGACACTGCAGGGCCCGGTGGCTCACACCTGTAATCCCAGCACTTTGGGAGGCGGAGCGGGTAGATCACGAGGTCAAGAGATCGTGACCAGCTGAGCCAACATGGTGAAACTGTGTCTCTACTAAAAATACAAAAATTAGCCAGGCATGGTGGCATCTGAGCCTGTAGTCCCAACTACTCAGGAGGCTGAGGCAGGAGAATCGCTTGCACCCGGGAGGCGGAGGTTTCAGTGAGCTGAGATCGCGTCACTGCACTCCAGCCTGGGCGACACAGCGAGACTCTGTCTGAAAACAAAAACAAAAACAAGAAATGTCAAATCAGAAGCACACAGCAAGCTCCTGGAACGTACCAGGTTATCAGCAAATAGGACCAACAGCAGTAGTAGTTGTTGTCGGCAAGTGTTGCTCTCAGTACGTTATAGTTCTTATTTTCTTTTGGACCTTCTCTGGACTCACATTAAATTCAGTTATAAACCACCAGCACTCACCAATGAAGAGCTGGCTGTTGAGCTGTAAACGAACGTGCCCATCAGCAGGGGCAGGCTGCATCTTCTGAGGAAGCTGATCGACTTGAAGAGACGCTCCTTTAACATTTCTCTCTGCCCTCACGTGGTGCCACCGATTGTCATTAAAGGGAGTGGGTGACTGCACCGTGACCTCACAAGGTCCATTCCCCACATCAAAGGAAAAGGTCACTTCTGTGGGAGCTAGAAATATTAGATATGAATATTGCTCAAGCAAATTCACAGGGAAGAAAACTGAGTCTCGTGCAGACACAGGAAAACATGAAGACGTGCTCAGGATGGAAGGAGACAATGACAGCGATGCAGAAAAATGTGACTGTGAGTTGGGGAAGGGGCTGGGGGCAGAATAAATCTGTATCCTGGAGGAAAAAATAAAACAGAGCAGATTTTAACATATTTATCCTCAGAGTTCACAATTCACCTTGGTAAGTCCTAAATAGTAGAGCTATGTACCCATAGCTGGAATACCCACAGCTATGTACCCATAGCTAGAATACCAAATAGTATTTGTTTTTGAGGTTTCAGTAATTTTATGTACAAACGGCTCAAAGTCTCATCTAATTCTATAACCACTGAACGTGAATTCTGACAGTCATAAATTCAGCTTTGGGTACACGAAAAACAGTATGTCTGGTCAAATATTTCTGGAATTCAGTGAACAACGTGACAAGTTTGGTTTAAAAGCTCTGGCTCTGCTGTCCTGTACTCTAGGGAAGGCATGACATTTTAATGGATTATTACGTGCTTCATGCTTCATTGTTTTATTTTCTCTTAAAAATGATTACTGGCTGGGCGTGGCAATTCACGCCCAGCACTTTGGGAACCTGAGGCAGGCAGATCACTTGAGACCAGGAGTTGAAGACCAGCCTGGTCGACGTGGCAAAACCACATCTCTACCAAAAATACAAAAATTAGCTGGGCGTGGTGGTGCACGCCTATAGTCCCAGCTACTCAGGAGACTGAGGCAGGAGAATTGCTTGAACCTAGGAGGCTGAGGTTGCAGTCAGCCAAGATAGTACCACTGCGCTCCAGCCTGGGCGACACAGCAAAACCCTCTCTCTCTCCCTCTCTTTCAAAAAAAAAAAAAAAAACATCTAAAATCATAGAAGTTTAGTGTTTTATAAGGAAATACAAAGTAAGAGTGAAATAACTAACATTTTGTTGAGTTGAAGCTTTTATTGCTAAATAATGGGTACCCTGTGACTTGTCCAGAGCAGGCAGCTTACCCCGCAGCTCAATCCTGATGAAGTCTGTGATTCCCAGGTTCTCCATAAACACCCCGGAGGAAACTGTGGTCTTAAAAAAGAAACACACGTCAGCAGTGAGTTCTCCGTGGAAAGCAGGGAAATGAAGGTATGAAGTCTCAGTGTTGAAGGAAGCTGAATTCCAAAATGACTCTGTTTACAATAGAGAAAACGACAAAAGGAAAAAAGTCATGAAACAAAAATAACAGTTACATTTGATACTTACAGGATTATGATTGCTAAATACATTAATAATCTATATGAGCCTTCACTGGAGGTTCTGAGCATCCATGTCATACACTGATGACATCAAGAGCTAAATGGTGATTATGTTGAGGATTAGAATTCTGTGTTCAGAGAAGGCCAAGCAAAAGTCAGGCAAAAGCAGTGAGGCCAGTTAAGAGATCGTGCAGCAACACAATGGGGACAGGGTCAAGTTCAGAACCACCTCAAAGGTATGGCCAACAGAACTTACTGAAGAACTGGAGAAGATGTGAGAGGAAGGGTGGAGTCTGAGGTGACTTCGGGGTTTTCGGTCTAACTGGGAGGGGAAATAATTCTGAAGCAGCAGGTTGGAGCAGCAGCTCAGTTTGGGACATGTTAAATTGAGATCTCTATTAGGCATCCAAGTGGAGAT